TCCTAACAAACCATACATCAATGGATGCTTTTTGATGCTGATGTCAGCTTTTTGTGACTATACAAAAGTATCAACTACCAGTCAGAAGTTTGGAATAAAAAAGTCTCTTCTGTTATAAATATATGTACTGTCACTTTTGATCAATTTAATGCATCTTTGATGAATAAAAGCATTAATTTCTTAAGAAAAACTTTTGATAGCAACAGCATATTAGAATGATTTCTGAAGATCATGTGACACTGAAGACTGGAGTAATGATGCTGAAAATACAGCTGCGCATCACAGAAATAAATGACAGTTTAACAGATATTCACATAGAAAACAGATATTTTACTGTCTTTTTTATCACATAAATGCAGCCTAGGTTTAATTATTTCAAATTTTTGCTCTTACTATTTTTCTTTATCATCACACTGCCTATAAGATATGGATTACTTTCTTGCTTCAAAGCAGATACAACTTTATTCTGTCCACATATTTCTAGTTTGACATCATAGAGCATAATTTTACTCTGTATTATGGACATTATTCCGGATAGACACCATGTTTAATTTCAAGGATATGAAAATGAAGCCTAAGGGACAGAAATGTCAAACGTGATGATGAAATATTAGACAGTTTTTGGAAATACATATAACCTGAAAAGAGTTCAACCCTTTCGGCTCGCAGACTTTCAACGAAAAATAAGGTCCATAATTCGATATTTGACTCTTTTGGTGAGAGACTCTGGCACTGCTGTTAAAAGTCAAACACGTGAAGCATTAATAACAAAAGGAGTGCAGACGTACAGTTAAACAGAATTGAGTTATAATTGTAGTTTGTCTCTCATAACAGCATACAGCACCTTCTGATTCACTCTCCAGCAAATCTCACAGTGTAGATCCACAATCCTGCGTAACACAGACGGACAGATGCATTCAAACAAACAAAACGCCTGAACTCAGATACTGAGCAATAAACCAGAGACAGCATAAAGATCGCCCCACATCATTCCTCATTTAAATATCATTCATTATTTATTATCTCAATCTGTGGTGCATGGAAACAGAAAATAAAAGAGCTGATGGGCGGCCCAAACCAGGACAGCCAATCAGAGCGCAGCACTTCAGAGGAAACAGGAAGGCGTGAAATTAAACTCTTTTCTGTCAAACGGTGCATTAAATGCTGCTGAACCTGTTGCTTTTCCTCGAGAGGAAACTTTTCCATTTGATAATCTGAAAGGCTAATTTAAACGGAAAACGGAGAATCTCAAAAAACATGTCCAGGCCACATTTTTCATAGGAAATTCAATTCATAAAGAAGTAAAATCTTTTGCATTGTGTCATTATTGTCATGACAATTAAGCTGAAAAAAAAAAGAATAATATAATAATAAAATGTAATAAATATTAAATATTTTTTTGTTGTCTTCATTGCCACGACAATTAAGCACACAAAAAAATTAATATATATAATTTAAAATAACTATAATTTAAAAATAAAGGCTTCATTTTCTTTAATAATTTTTTTTTTTTCAAATTTTGGATTGTGATCTTTTGCATTGTGTCTTTATTGTCATGACAATTAATATAATTAA